GGTTGCGAGTCCGAGAGCCCAAGACAATCACTTGTACAAACATCCACTTCTTATGTCCCCACTGCGGTTTTTTGTGCGTTATAATTACACTGTCCAAGAGGATTACCTGTCTAAAATGATTTACAATCGAACCTGCTCTAACGGCCACATGTATAAAACAATCACCTGTACAAACGGGCACTTTGCATTTCTTCCCTTGCGTATTTTTTAAAAACATTATCTTGACACCGTGTAAAACGGCCACCTGTCTAATACGGCTACTGTTCCCTTCGACAATGAATGGTCGTCTTAGACAATTTTGACTCTGTTTTCTCCTTATAAGGGGTGGTCGTTTTGAAAAGGTCCGACTATGTCTCTCTCTGTCTGCTGGGATGTTGTACGGTACCTCACACAGCCTGGATTGGCCTTGAGTGACAGTCGACAAGGCGGTGTTGAAGCAGCCTTCTTCCTTGCTGATCTATCTTGGATCGATGGGGGCGTATCATTCCAGATGTACTAAACTCATAACTTTGAAAAATAAATTATTGCAGATCTTAATTTGTAGTATTAGTTGCATATAAAGGAACTTGTACTTGTGAATTAATTGGTCAAAATCCAGTTCCTAAATGTTAAAAAAAAAAAACCCAAACAACAAACACGATTTAGGTACATTTTGTGTGAAAGAATTGAAACAGCTTTTCCGCTTTCTTGAAAACATTTCAAGAGTTTGAAGTCACCAAACTTTGGCTAACCATATTCTCACTAGTTTTACCTCTGACATCAGGTGACCCCCACTTCCTTCAATCGCAAGTATCTCAACCTTTGTTCAAACAAATGGGAATTTTTTTCACCAAAAAGAAAGACAAATAAACAAGCTGCAAAGAACCTGCAAATTTACATCTTTTGTGCTTATGATCAACGTTTTTCAGTAAGATCCTCACAGAAATGTATTTTTTTACATGGACATAAAAGGTAACATAAAAGGTGTTCAGCCAAAACATAAAAGAAATTGATAAAAATTGCCAAACAGGTAGAAAGAGGCCGGTTCATCGATTTCATTATTTTGACGAGCGCCTGATTTCACCACGATTCCTCATATTTGCTTTTTGGGCTTGGAGCATTTGAACAGCGTGCTGACGATATCTTTAAAACAGTCATATTATGTTTCTAACAAAATGATTTCCGCTACGTGACTACTTCGTGTTCTCAATTGTTACACTGCTGAGATATGTTGCGGATGGTCTTGATTCGAAATTCTAACCAGGTGCTTTAGAACTTGAGTTATTTTGGGTGTTTTGGTGGCTCTCAGCACACTTTGCTATGTACCATCGGAGACAGACGTTGAATAAAAATCCCTGCTTCTCTAACTGATCTTACAATGTTAATTAAACCCACATAATTCTTTCCACAAAGTGACTTTGGACCAAAGGGGCTTATCATGTTAGCGCCAAGACGATTGTATTTTTAACACACGTTTTTATTCACAGCATACGCTTAATTAAGCTGTACATACTTACGCGCTGCCTGTTCTCATTTTGAAGTCCAGCCAACATTCTTTAATATCAGTCAATAAAACAATTTAGTATGTCTTAATTGTCTTGTCATTTTTCCGTGTGAGAAACGTTCACAGGAGTCTTGTTGCCTTCTTTACTAAAGCTCTTTCTACAAAACGTGCCACGAAACGTCTCTCTGTATCTAGAGTTCATTTTGTAGTAGACGAAGATGTTTACGCTTGAGTTGGACACTTCCCCAAGAGAAACAATCGTCCAGACGCTGAAATACATATTCTGGTAACGACGACCGAAGTTGAACTCTGGTTCCAGAAAACTGGTGATGATGAGCAGCGTGCTGGGGAAAAGAAAACAAATTAAAATAGTAGATACCATTAAGGTCAGTCTGATGGCCCCCCGTTCTCGACGGGAAACGTTATTTTTGTCCGAGGCTCCGGTAGAGGTCGTCTGCAAACGCCACTCGGAGCGTTTCTTGAGCAGAAGGACGAGAGTTGATGTCAGAATGAGAAGAAGGCCAAACGAGCTCAGTTGGACACAGACACTGAGCCCAAAGCTCAAGTTTTCCAGCTCAGCTGCGTTCGACCTCGAGACCAAACTTATTACTGATCTATTTAGAGCGTAGGAGAATTTCCAGTCAAGTTTGTGAGCCATGTAGATAGGGGTCTCGATGAGAAAGATGAGGGTGAAGATGAGGACGACGACGGCGAATGTCCGACGAGGTGTGAGAATTCTCTTGACGTGTAGAGGCAAGGCCACACAAAGACACCTCTCTAGTGTGATGTAGACGGTGATGAGTCCCGTGATGCGAGCAAAGCAGAAGCGTGGATGCGCCGCGACGAGGTATTGAACGTCTCTATTGTTCACTCTCATCTCTGAGTAAGGGATCAAAGGGTTGAAACAGACCGAGAGAATCGCGCCACTGATCACCGTTCCCAAATCAGAGACGGCCAGAGCGGTGAGTCCCACGTTGATACTCTCACGAAAACCATGTCTCCAGAAGATGGTCAGGTTCACAAGGTTGCTAATGACGCCGAAGATGGAGACCAATCCACTGAGTACGACAGTATTTATAGTTTCTATTGTGTACAGTGTTGCCAGGCTCATCAAATAAGTCATTCCATGTGGGTCTGGCGTCATGTTACGTATTTCCATGTCGGCCATTTTGTTTGAAACGTCTGAATCTTTATCTGTCAATAAACCAAAAGAGATTTTCTGACGTCCTGGTTATACTAAATTGTTGCGCTATCAGAATATCCCGATGACACAACTTCAAAATGTAAGTGCATAATATTATGCTATTACTTTTTCCTGCAACAAACTAACCAACCTACCAGCCAGCCCTCCCTCCATCTAACCAACCAACCAATCAACCAACCAACCAACCAGCCCACCAACCAACAAACCAAACATCCAATTACTGAACTAAATAACTAACAAAGTAAAACTAAGTTAGAGATCTCGTCTTATATCTTGTATCTTTATCTAGAAAATTTTGAACAATTCAACTATAAGGACATCAAGTTTGCAAATATGAAGGAAATCAATCAACACTTTCGAGAAATATCAAAGTTTAAAAATTTCAACCAAAATTGGATAACACTAAAAAATGTACTTCTTAATTAACAATGTTCAGCTACAGGGGCGTGATCGGCAGTTTCTCGTTTCAGGAAACAGCGGTAAAACCCCACAGCCGCATCAGATGAGTATCTCATCGTGCTGAGAAAGTTTTGTAGAAGTTTGGTGAGAAGGTTTTTAAGCTACAGAGGCCTAGTTCCAGTGGAATGGGGCCACACCACACACATCAAGAGTGGCGCTTGTGTGGTTGTATGTTTAGAGAACACATTTTAAGCCGAACGTTTAAAAATGAATGGTCACTACATTTCCCTTAACTTGAGGCCTTTCAACTATTAACTCTTTTTTTTTTTGGCTTTTAAAAATTGAGGGACAGAGTCTTCGGAAACAACCCACAAATATTGAAAAGTTAAAAACAATGTTGAACATTATGTCCATTGAGTCCAACCAGAAACATGCCACGGTGTAATTCAAAATGTCCAGTGGCATAGGCCTATAATGGAGCTTGCTGCAGGGAGAGAAATGGTCAACACTAGGAGATTTAAATAGACACCACCTCCCTGATTTTATTTGACAATATCAATTTAGTTAAAAAGTGTGTTATTCAATGCACAAATAGTGACTATTTGAAATGGAATGATATTGTTGATTTTTAAGAAGTTGCAAAATCTTGTGTTTCGCTTAAGTTTGGTTAAATTTTTTAAAATTTGATTTTTTTTCAAACATTTAGACTGATATCTGCCTTATTGATATATTTAACGTCCTCATAGCTGAATTTCATTTCTTCGAAGTTTTGTTGTGATTGGTTAAAGATAAGCAAGTCATTGCCCGTTAAATGGGTCCCTTCTTTTTAAAGACACCCTGTAAAGAGAATACCCTTCCAGACGATGACATGCCCTAACCTTGTAAAGCCTCAACTGAACTCCTCGCTCAACGACGAACTAATAAACAAACCGACAACAACGAAGTAGCCAATCAGAATTTAAGTAAGATTAAACAGCAGACCCACTGTCTTAATGGACATGAACTTTACTATCATTTGATCAGGTTACTCTGTGAGAAAGCACCACGTAATATTATAATATTCTTGGGAGTAAACACGCTGTTTCTAAATGATGACTAATGGGAGTGATATATTTGGTAAAGATGTGACCGATATTTAAAAAGTTTAGATTCACACTTTAAAAATTGGCACACCTCGCCTTTCTCCACTAGACAAATTCCCCAAAGCCCCTGAAATTTATTGACTCATATAATTTCAACATCCACAAATTTGAACGCTCACACTTGAATCACATGTTTGAATTTAGAACCAATTAGGCACTAAGGTTTACGAGATGTCTATCAAGAATCCATAACCAGATTCATAAGAACATATAATTATTCTTGATGTTTTGTTTGTCACCTACTTTCATTCTAATCGCTCTGTAACGAAAAAAAAAAGACTTTTAAGAAACTACACACAAAGTTGACAGTATATAGTGCTCCCCGGAACCTAGCGTCTTTGTGAAGAGAACATTATAATTGCTGCGTTTGTAATAATATTATTATTTCACCCTCTGACAAGCATCAAATCAAACAGTTATTAAATGGCGTGTTCTGTTAGCGCGGCAGTTTTCTAAACCGCCGTATCACATTTTATCACTCATTGGTTAATAATTGTCTTCCCACTTATTATTCATCTACAGTGGTTTTCCTTCGTTTAAAAAAAAAATTAATCATCCTAGCAAGTACACTTTCCAAGGTGTTCGTTTCTTGGCAGTGTTTTACTATAGATCTAAGTACAAGTTATTTACAAGTGCTTTGGGAGACGAAATTGGTTAATTTCCCTTTCTAAGCTCTAGAATATTATGGCTCACAATTAAATATGATCTCCATGTAATAGGATAGGTGTTCTCCGTGATAGTGATGCTATATAATAATATCATGAAATATAGAGTGATCCCCTCCAAAAAGTTGTACAACTTTGAAAAATAAATATTTCGCACAAAATCTGTACTAGAATGTTGTAATTTGAAGCAGATATAATTCATTCAAAAGAAATTTGTTTGACATAAAATTCACAAAGAAGAAATGTATTTTCAAAAAATGGAACGGCTTTTATAAAAACCATCTATAAATGTAAAAAAATACAACTATTTAAAAGATCTTGTTTTTGGAAATCACAAAATGCTCGGTTGTTTTTTCCCTCCTTTCCTTTTATTTTGAAAGTCAGTCTAATCTTTCCATTCCTGTAACCTTCAAATAACATTTCTTTTCTCCTACAGAGTTGCATTCTGAAATTCCGAGAACAAATTATGGTCTATATTATGTGCTCCTTTGGACTCGACACATTTTAACTTGTCCTTCGCAATGTTCATTGTTGCCAAACACAAGGATCCACTTAACCGTGAGTGCTCAAAGCCACACACACACTCTACACCTTGCAACTGTTTCTTGAGACAATTGGTGGGGGGG